TCCACCCAACTGGGCAGCCACACCTGCAGGCCCGGCCGGGGTGCCTCCCTGTGTCAGGCAAGCCTGTGCTCCGTGCACTGGGTCCCCTGCCTGTGGGGCTGTTCCTGCCTTTGCCAAGGTGAGCTTGGAAACTGAGGAAGGCTCATGTCATCCGTGACAGGAGTGTGCCCTGCCAGTGTGTCGCGGGTGTTTTTTTTTTTTTTTTCTCTTCTTCTTTCTTCTTTTTCTCATACTTCCTGTATGAGGTTAGCTTTTTAAAATGATAAACAAACTATGTTTTTTTTCAACTTTTTTTTTTTTGGCCCAGTTGCTGCCTGTGCTCTTAGGAGCATTTTGTGGGTGTCCTCCCTCTGCATACGGGTGCTGTGTGTGTAGAGCTCAGGGGCTGTGGGCTTTGCACCCCCCTCCCCCATGGCAGCAAGATCCTACCCTCACATGATGCCAGTGGACATCATCGGGGCTCAGGTGTTCTCATGGCCTCATGAGCTGAGGGGGTGAAGCAGTCTGGGGCTGGGTGAGCCTTGTGAGGCTGGAGGGACCTTTGATCTGGGGGGGCACTAGGGAGCAGGTTTGCCACCCCCTGGGGCTCAGTATCCAGAAAGGAGGTTATCACCCTAGGCCACCCCAAGACTCATTCAAAGTCCTGGAGGCTTCAAGCTGCTGCTGGATCTCCCCTCCCACTCTGGGGACTCTGGAGAGAGCCATCCAGTTAAGTTTTGCTTACCAGGAACCTAAGCAGGTGCAGTCACTGTGGTCAGTAGGGACTGAGCCTAGGGACAGTGGCTACAATGGTGACCTCCCTCTCGTAGTGCTTGCCTCTGTCTGACTCACCCGGGGAAGTGGAAACATGCACCTTTGGACCCCACCCCCTCCATTTCCAATGAGAAGACTCAGAGAAGCCTGAGAATCTGCATTGCTCACACGCGCAGGCACCTATGTGCTAGGTGGCACTGAGCCCCGGGTGACGGGGAGGCCCCACGGAGTCTGTGTGTCGTCCACATTCTCCCCAAGGGGTGGATCCCTCCTGTGTCCTCACACAACCTTGGGGGTAAGGCCAGCCTTCCAGAGGCCCTTTGCATTTCTTAGTAACTGTCCAGCAAGGTCATCTGTAATTTTGGCCTTTTGCTATGTCAACCACACTATATCTGCTGAAATGTCTATGACATTTAGCTCTTTGAAAAATGGGTTTTATGGAGCCAATACAGTGGCCAAGGTGAGGGTCCTCTTCAGGACTAGACCAGAAAATAACCTAGTGAGGGAGGCCCTTGGGTCGTGACCTCCATCCATTTCTACCTTGGGTATAAACTGAGGGACCTGTTAGAGTATCTCTCTGTTCCAAGGTCTTCTGCATGGTCCTTGGGGGCCAGCTGTGGCGTCCTCTGTGAGCTCTTGATCACCCCAGGTGGCTGCAGGACTTGGTGACCAGGATGCTGGATTGCAAGATGTGTGTCACCCTTGACCTGCTGGCTGTGGGACTCCTTGTGCCTCAGGATAATCCTGACAGCCCCCTCCTGAGAGAAGACTCCGGGAGGTGGGAGGTGCTCAGTGTGTGGTGGCCAAGGGCACGGGGTGTGTCGGGGCAGCCCTGGGTTGAAGCACGCTCTGCTGCCAGGGGCCTGGAAGTCCCTCCACGAGGACACAGTCTGTTTCGGAGCAATGCGTAGGTATGTCATGATGGGGGACACTTTGGAGAAATTGCTTCTCAGGTCAGATCCCTCCAAATGGCTCTGAATCCGCTTGGAGCCATGTGGATGTTGCTCTGGACACAGGATCCCCATCAGGGATATGGGCAATGCTGGTGGCTTGCTTGCTGGCCCTGACATCTCCAGCAGCTCAAAACCCTAGTCACTTGCCCAAAGAGCCATCTTGTCCCTAAAGAGAGTCCATGATGATCAACGACCTTGTTCTGAGAAATAAAAACAGGGGCCTGAGATCCACACACCTTGGTCTCACTGAGCAGGCCCTACCCTCCCCCCGACTGCTTGAAATCTCAACAAGCTGACCTGCAGCCCTGCCCCGAACAGCCCGGGGGGCCTCGATGGCCATTTTCCTATGAATTGCTGAGGCCCTTGGTGGCAAGGGGGGTAGGACAAGCTCAGGTGTGTCCTTTGCTGGGGTGGGGGGCCTGGGGGCTCTGGATTGGCCTCTCACAGGTGAGGAACTGGTTTTCACTTCCCCAGGTACTTCCTGGAAGTAGAGGCATGGAGGGGTCAACTCCAGGGACCAAGACCCTGCCCTCTGGTGTGAGGGGGAGTTGGGGTGGGCGTCTGGGCTCCCGTCGCTCGTCCCTCCTTGGACTTCCATGCCAGGACCTTTCCTCTGGTTGCTGACAGGAGCAGAAAGAGCACATTGAGGAGCTGGCTCGGAGCATGCAGAGCTGGCCTGGGCTGCGTTTCCGGCCCCTGACGAGGGCTCATATTTAGCGTGGTGTATGGCCCCCAGGCTTCCCTCAGGTCTGTGGGCAAGTGGCTTCTGCACCCGCCATGGGGAGCGCTAAGTGGGGGACCTGAGCACCAGAGACCTGCAGGAACAGCAGCACTGAGCCAAGCTGGGAGGGAGGGTGGCCGGCCTTAGGTATGTGTAACCAGAACCCTTGGGGCCTGTCCCAACTCTGGGAGGTGCTGGAGGTCTCCACCCACCCCAGTGCATAGTGGCAGGTGGAATCCATGTGAGCGATTTCCTTGGAATTGGGGCAAACCGGAAGTAGTCCCCCCTGGGTCCTCCTGGCTCCTTCAGTGACAGGTGGAGCCCTCGTGGAGTCCCCGGGAATTTCATCAATTCATGCAAAATCTCCAGACAAGGGAGAGCAGGCCTCGCATGGCGAGCTGGGTTCCAACTCTTGGCAGGTTGGGCCGCTGTCCCATGGGGACTAGCTGGCAAAAGCCCAGGTGTCCCTTCCAGCATGACCTGGGAAGGCTCCCTATTTTCCCATCTACAGGCCTTGCTTTCTTCACCTGTAAAACTGAGGGTCACCCGGGGACCTTGGGGCCTATGGCCTCTCGCTGTGACTTTAATCCATGTGCTCATGGTGGGGTGTGCCCTCTCCAGCTGCCTGGGCTGCGGCAGTTCATGCTGATCCCAGCTGCAAGGGCTGGCTGGGAAGCCTCCCCTCTCAGTGGTGGAACGGGGGGGACCAGGGTCCCCTTCCACCCATGTGGCCACTGGTGCGTCACTTACTTCCCGTTTCTCTTTGCCCACCCAGGAAGGCGCTGCTGACAAAATCCTGGGTCCGGATGCCAGGCTGTGAGCCCCACTAGAAATGCTAGCTCACCCGGCTGGGGGTGCGGCCCCCTGAGACGGTGCTGGCCTGACATGTGTGAGGCCCTGGGCTTGATCCCCAGCACAGAGAGGGGGGGGGGCAAACAGGCTCTCAGGTCATGGGACAGGGGGCCGTTTCCCTGCAGAGTCATCTAGGGTGTTCCTTCCAGAAGGGCCGGCTCCTCAACTGCCCCCGACTGCTCTCCCCATGGCCACTAGAGGCCATAAGTCCTGTAGGAACTGGTGCAGATCCACTGACTCATGTGTACACGACACTGGGGGACACTACGTGAAATTTTGAGAAATAAAAGACTGTCACAAATAGCCGCGTGTTGCCATGACCCCAGGAGAGGCTTTGCTCTCTGCGGCCTGCAGCTCAGGGAGAGGTTCTCCAGGGAGGGGGTGCACCCTGCCCTCTGCACCACACAGCTCGGCCCTGCTGCCAAAGGCCTGGTGCGACGGAGGGCTTGGCCCGCCCTCCCCCAGATGTTTGGAAAGCACACAATGCGCTGATCTGAGCCGCCTCCTTTATTTCCTAACTTCTCACGTCCCTTGTACTAGGCGGCGCATTGTGAATGAATCTCTAGGGGAAGGACCGAGCTTTTCCAAAATGCCACATCCTCCCTCCCACTTTACAGAAAATGTTGTGACATTAATGGAAGGAAATGGGGGAGGGGCGGTCCCCAGGCGTTCACAGTGAACCCTCCTGGCACCTTGGGCAGGCTGCAGGGGGAGGGGACAGCTGAGGAGCCAGGGAAGCTCAGAGTCATGCATCTCTTCTCTGGCCATCCACAGCGCTGGCCAGAGAACATTGCTGGAGAGAGTGGGCTGGCGTGGACTTGGCCACCCTCCCAGGGGAGCCCTGTTGCCAGTCCCCTCCTGGGAAAACTGCTCTCCCGAAATGCATCTGAGCACAGATCTGGCCTGTGGGGCTACTGTGGGGACCCTGGGGACATGGCACTATCTGCATTTCTGAATGTGCCCTGCTTCTGTCTTTTGGAAATACCCTTTCACTTATTTGAAAGATCTGAAAATGATCTTCTGCAAACAAGGAGGCCGACGGTGCTGGCGGCAAGCGGCGGGGCGGTTATTAATAGAGCCACAGTCTTTGGGGAGCTCAGTCCTTGCAGCCTCTGCAGCCTCCTGAGGAGGAGGGTTTCCATCTTTCCTTCTCTCCTTACCAGGGCTCCTCGGCTGAAGCTCAGGTAGCTCCTGAGTGTTGGCTGAGGCTCCTGGGAGACTCCCGTCCCCTGAGGTGGGAAGAGGAGAGGTGACACACTGAGTGAGAGTTCTATGTGACCTCTAGGGTGTCTCTGGGCCCCTGGGGAGGGGAGCTCAGTGTGTCACCCGGGCAAACTCCTGGGTGTCTCTGAAGTCCTATGCTACTCTTCAGGCAATCAACATCAGGATTCGGAGAGGAGCCTCAGGGTCCCCTGGGGGTGAGACGCAGCTGGAGAATCAGACCTGGCCTCAGCTTTTCAATAAGCAGACAGGATGGTCCCGCGCTAAGCAGTGAGCTTCTGGGGACATTTCTGGTGGCTTCTGAGTTATTTTTAGGTGGACACTGCCTGTCTCCATCACCACCTGCAGCTCTCATTGTCACTGTGTGAATAGATGCTGACCAATTCGACTCCCCGGCTCACCGTGGCATTTACAGTCTCTTCCTTTTGGTTTCCATGGAGTGACTGTCTCTCAGTGTGGTTGGCAGTGACCTGTGTTTTTCATGCATGTTTTTGTTTCAGAATAACTGGGAGACGGAACAGGAAGCTCTATGACACACTTGATCGAAAATGACACAGACTCAGAAAAACCAGGACTCAGCCCCCCAGCGCCTCTGCCTGCTGCCGGCTGGAAGGCAGGACAAGGGGTCTCCTGGGACCGGATTCTAGCTGCTGTGGACGCTCAGGGTTTCCATGTTCACTGGGATGTTTCTGCAATCTTTTGGTCATGGATGGTGCACTCGTGATGTTGTCTTATTTATCCGGCCAGTCTCTTGTGTCTTAATCCCTCTCCTTCATTAAAGCAAAACTAAAGAAAACCAAACTGTTTGCTTATTCGCTGTATGGAAACCCCAGCTGAAGGGGCCGACCCATGTCCACTGAGCTTCCCGAAGGCACAGGTGATGCTCGTCTCCACCACGTGTTCCTTACGATGTTGAGCTTGAACCTCAATTACTCAGCCATGGTTGTCCTACTTCTTAAATCTCCAGAAGGTCTCTCTAGAGTCAGCATGGCCAGGTCGACCTTTGAGAAGAACCCTGGAATCCATCTGGAAATCTCTTGCCTCGCCCACCCTGATTCTGGCTTGCACCTGTGACCCCAAGATCACCAGGAGCCTTTCAGCTGGGGATCTTGGCCTTGTCTGTGTCCTCCTCCCTGCCCCACATCCACTACCCCTTTGCTTATTCATTCCCTAAAGTTTTCTCTGGGGCCTACTGTGTGCCCATGGCTGCCGACAAGGCCCAGGTTGTGGCCAGCTCTGCCCCCACCTCCCAGCGCTGCTCACCTCCTGAGGGGTTTCGCTCAGGGAGCGCCGGACAGATCACCAGGCCTGGCTCACTGAGATGCCCTGATTCCCCAGATCCATGCCTCAGATCTGAGGCCTGGAACTGGCCCCTGAATAGTCCTCAAAGAAACAAGATGGCAGGCCAGCCTCCCCTGCCCCAGGCCACGAGCAGGACAACCCACTTCCCTGAGGATGTGCCGAGAGAGGCCACTTGTTGTCACCTCCCAGTACTGTCTCTTCATCTATAAGCAGACGTTCCAGAACAATGCTGAGTGGGTCAGCTCTTCACTTCTCCGCAAGGCTGCCATGCTGAGCCGTCTGGCCTTCTGACCAGGGTTTTGGTGGGCACTTCGAGTCCATCTCTGAGGCTGGTTGACGCTGTGGCCAGGACTGGCCAGTGTCAGCCAGGCTCTCTCCATGACACTGCCCAACAGGAAAGGTGGCCTGCGAATCGATTCGCATCAGAAACCCAAAGTTGCTCAGCTATGTTTTTAAAAAAGTTTATTTGCTTATATTCCTGGAAAATTGTGTTGTGGAGGGACGTGTCCTCAGTGGGCTGTCTCTAGCTGCTGCTTCTCAGCAGGACATTAAGAAGGCCAGATAAAGTGACTCTTAAGATCCCACTGGTCGGAGCTTCTTGGTTTTTTTTTTTTTTTCTCTACTGGTTTCATGTGACTGGATTCTACTAGAGAGGGAACAGTGCAGACGGGTGACATTAGTGTCATGGACCCCGAGTCACCCAGGCCTAGCTGGACTTACACACAAGGGGCTCCCCTGACAGGCACACTTTCTCCCAAGGGGTCACCCCTCTCCCATGTTCCAGAGCAGAACACAACAATATCCTTTGCCCTTTCCCAATCTTACCTGCTAGGGTTACGTTGGGCCTTAAAAATATGGAAGTCAAAGGCTTGAGGAGAATCACAAATAACCCCCAGAGTGTTCACAGGCCAATCAGTTCATAGGAGGATAAGAGAAAAAGCAAGAGGGTGGACCGTGCAACTCTAGGTGGTTAGGCAGTAACTCTGCCCCTGGCCAGATAGTAGAATTACTCAGGACTTACAGAAAAACATGTTTAGACCCTCAGGCCCACCTAGACCAATCCCATCAGAATTGGGGATGGGGTCAGATCTCAGTCCTTTTAACAACTTCACGGGCCATTTTGGTGCATAGCTGGAAACACCGGCCCAAGGCTGCCCTGTCCAGTGCAGTAGCCATTGGCCACAGGTGTCCTTTGAACACTTAAAACGTGGCTCCCGTGATCAAAGAGCTAAACTTTTATTTCCTTTTTTTTATTTTGGTTTAATTTAAACTTAAATATCCACATGTGGCTTGGGTCTGCCATGTAGGACAGCTCAGAAAAGAACATACGTATCACGAAAAGAGTAATAAAGAAAGTTCCGTGGGTTCGTGTGGCCTGAGGGGGCCACCAGACCTTACTGCCGTCTGAACGTGGGAGGCCTGTGGCGTGGCTCTGTTGACTTCAGAGGGACCTGCCCTCCTCTCCTGGGCCTACAGTGTGTTTTGCATCTATATTTTGCACGGGGGCTGTGTACCAGCAAGGCCAATATGCTTTCAAAGCACTGAGCCGTACGAGGAAAAGAATTGAGAATCAATCTCGACCCAGGTGCAAGGCCCAGACCCGACACCCTTTGTGTCCCCTCTGCCAGTTTGCTGTGTCTGCCTCTTTGGAGACCCAGCCTGGGAAGGGAGCTTTTCTGCTATGGGATGACTCTATTCCAAGAATCTGGGACAGTACCCGAAGAACTTTTGGGAAAACCAGGGACTAGATGTGTCACCCAGGAGAGGAGTCATGGTTTCGAGATGGGCTCAGGGAGGTGGCTCAGCAAGCTCCACCAGTTTGGGGTTACAGATGAAGAAATAGAAGTCAAAGCTGAATCATTTTCTGCTTATCACTCAGAGAGTGTCAGATTTTCTTTTTCTTTTTTTTTTTTTGTTGGAGGGAAAGCACCTGGACGACGAAAAGAGTCATACTATTTTGAATTTCAGAGCTTTCCCTTTTTCAGAGCACCTCACCCTCTTGGGCTTGTTTGGTCCTCCTAACAAGCCTCTAAGACAAGCAGGAAAGGGGCCTTTGGTGGCCAGCACCCCGAGAAGGAGCTCGACACCGTGGTAGGATGGAAGGGAGCAGGTTTGGTTGTCCGATCCCAGGCTGCACACGTGAGCTTAGGTTGTGTAACTCAAAACAAATGTACAGATTACACAGATTTTTTTTTTTAAATTTTAATTTACAGTGGGTTGTGTTTCTGAAGGAAAACAGCACTCTGCACTTGTTCTATTGGGTTGCATACCAGGTTCCTAATCCTCCAGGCGGGATTCTCTGGGGACATTCCTTCCTCGGAGGCTCCAGTGACCTACAGATTTGGTAAATATGCCTTCAGTGTCTTTCTGCAAGTTATTTAAAAATGGCAGCCAGGACAGGGCCCTGTGGGTCTCCACGAGACTCATTCCTCCCTCCTACCAGGCACAGACAGCATGACACCCTTCCCTTGGGGGTCTTCAACCTTTTCCCACGTAGAGTAGTAGCAGAGAGGGCTGTCAAACCACACCTCCAGGGGACAGCAACTGCTTATTGGTCTGACCGGCTGAGACCTCATGGTGGCCCCAGCAACCAGGGCCGTCTCCAGGGCTGACGTGGGAGTAAGGGTGGCAGGATGGATCTGATGCCACCAGCTGACCCCTGAGGATGGCTGTCCTGCCCGTGTGACCCCTCCTAGCCACACCATCATCGGGGCCATCGTGTGCACCCACACACATACAGGACACGAGAGGTTGTCAAATGCTCTACTGAAAGCAAGCCACCCTTTCTGGGGCATTCCCCCACTCGGCTGTGCTGGGGAGGCTCGTCAAAACAGGAAATGAGGTTAGCATGGAATGACTTTCTCTCAGAGAACTTGGTTGCCTCCTAGAGACCACCTCTAGCTTCCCAAAAGGCCGTGGGCCTTGCTCCGAGCCTCCCCTGGGCTTTCCTGGCCAGGCGAGGGCATCTGCTCCTCTGCGATGCTCGGGGCGGCTCCTTGGGAAAACAGTGGGAGGTCTCCTGGCTCCAGCCCCCGGCCCCCTCCCTGGCAGGCCAGCGTCCCTGAGCCGTGGGCCTGTGGGCCTGAAGTGAGACGGCACATTCTCCAGCCACAGCTGGGTGCACGCACCCGGCGCCAGGCTCACGCCTGGGCTCCCGGGTTTCAGGTGGCTCCTTCCCTCAGGGAGTTGATGGATCCAGCACGTTCCCACATTATCAGGGAGGTGGTAAGAGAAGGCTGAGCCAGGGAGGTGACGCTTCGTGGGAGCCACCCACTGTCCTTCGGCTCCACAGACGACCTTTGGCTCAGAATGTGCCAAGAGGGGAGTAACCGGGCCTGGTGGCATTCGAGTGAGCCCCACACGGTGCCCTAGCCATGGAAAGAGCGGCATCATCTCCCCCCTGCGGGGGCCTTCCCACCAGCAGCCCTGAGTGCTGAAGTGCTTCGAGCCACACTTCCCTTCATGGGGGAGAAAGGAGTCGACCTGAGGGAAGGTCTGGCCTGACCTCGACACTGGGCTGGACACTTGTCTCCAAGCACCAGGCTCAGTTGACTTTTTGGAAATGCATCCGCCCGGGCCCTGTGCTCTCACCACTGGGATCCGGATCTGCCCCTTTTCCCCACACGATGCAGCAGGACCTCAGAGGCCAGCCTGAGCGGCGGCTGCAGTGGGTCAAGTCCTGCTCCTCTCCTTCATCCCGGGGCCTGGCCGTCCTCTCCCCAGGTCTAGGGGCGCCATGTTTTCGGTGGTGCAGGCGCCTTCCTAACACCCCGGCTCCCTGGTGAGCCTCAGTTTGCTCTGGATCAGCTTTTGGTGGCTTGTAACTGCCAACCCCACAGCAGGACCCAGGGGCAGGGTTAGTGTCCTTTTGTTAGGTCAAGAAAACAGTTTTGGTGAGACCCCAGGTCATAACACTTGTGACATGGTGCCTCCTGGGTTTAGATCCAGAGGAACCCAGCCCCACGCCTCTCGTCATTATGTTGTCTCTGTACGTCGTAAAGGAAAACCCATTTTCCCTTAGAAAGGGCTGTGAGTGCTGAGTGACATTGGGAAGGGACTGTGTCACTGGGGTCAGGGGCAGGCAGACCTGGGCTCTGCAGGCCACCTGGGTCAGAAAGGCAGCAAGGGGCTGGCCCTCCCACTGCCACCAGAAGCTGCACTTCCACAGATCCTGGGGGACTTTGAGGGCACGCAGGTGCGAGGTCTGCTCCTTACTCTGGGCCCTGTGTGGGTGACAGAGAAGTGGGTTCTGCCCTCGTTCTTCCCAGGAGCTGGTCAGGGGCTGGGACAACCAGGCAGATGGAGGCTCCTGGGGTCCAGTGGGCAGCCCTGGCCCCTCAGCTCCTCAGGGAGGGGGAAGGGTCAGGAAGCCATGGAAAGAGCAGCGTAGAGCAGGCCATCACTGTCATGGGGGTGGGGAGGAAGGAGAAGGGGGACACCGTCCAGGTGGCTGCTCCCCCTCTGGCCCTCGCCCCACTCCTCCTCCCTTCTTCCAGGTGCAGGGCACAGCTCTGGAATCACTGTCCCCGGTCCCTTTGGCAAGGTGGCCAGGGACCCTGGTTTGCTGAGGATGGCCTCTTCATGGCGGCTAGACATTGACCTAGGGCCATGCCTCACTTCCTATGTCCCTGTCGTGCTCAGAGACGTCCTGGTGTGGACGCTTGGGTCCCCTCTTTGGGCCCCACATCGGCTTTGCTGTGCCATCAGGAGCTGGATCTGCAAACACCAGCTCCTAACTCGGGGAAGTGAGCCCGGCAGCCCCCGCAGTTCTGGCAGGGCCACCTCAGAAGACGCAGGGTGGACAATGGGGAGGGACAGTGTATGCACTCGGCACCTGGGTGAAGGCCCGTGGTCATGCAGGCATACATGAACGTGTGACATGGGTGTGTTGCATGTGGGGACATGGGGTGTTTGGATGGGGTGCCTGTGTGCCTACGGGGTGGCACACTGTGAGGGGGTGTGCACTGCCTGTGTGTCTTGTGTGTGGTGTGGTGTGGTTGTGCAAGGGGGACGTGAGTGGGTGTTGTGGTACAAGGGTCTGTGGCACAGGTGGACGTGTGGGCCTGGTGGGTGTGTGCAGGACTGTGCCCATGTGATGTGGGTGTGGAGTGCCCCTTGGCTGTGGGAGTCACATGATGCCTCGTGTGCTTCCTGGGCCAGGGAGGGGCAGAGGCACAGGCCACCTGTCTCCCCAGGTCTCTGCTTGACACTGCCTACAGGGAACGCCTCCCAGGCCTGCTAGCCCACGGGCACAGAGGCCCTGCTGAGTGCAGAGCCAGACACCCAGGCCTGGAGGCGAGGTGGGTGGGTGGGGCTTCCCCAGGTTGGGCCTAGCACCTTGCTGGGCCCCAGGAAGGCTGTATCCAGGTCACCACCTGGAGCCCCTTCCTCCTGCCCTGCTTAGTGACACAAGGCCCCTGTGGATGCTTCTGGCTCCAACTTCCTGTATAGCAGCCAAGATGGAGCCGGGAGCTCCCTCCTCCTGCCTCTTGGGTCACTGGCCTTCCTAAATTGCTTTCTCCTGGAGATAGGGCAGAAGAGACCAGGACCTAGCTGGTGGAAGTTATGACACGAGGAAGCTGTCCTCCAGAAGGAGGGCCCCTGCCAGCTCAGTCTTGGTCTCTCCTGCTGTGTCCCCCTGAGAAAGCACATTGGGCTTCCCTCCGTCATGGCCCCACCTCGGACATCACTCTGCTGCTGATGGGTGGAGGGTGGCTAACCCGCCCCCAGGGCCAGAGGCATCCTGCCCTCTGTTTACTCAACCCCCAGCCCTGCCACCCACCGTCACCTCTCTGGAAGGGCTTTGCTCTTGGCTGAGGACCACCCAACTGTCACAGTCACTCTCCCAGAGGCAACAATGGCCCAGGAACGTTTTTCTGAAGACATGGTAGGAGCTGGGGCCCCTCTCTTAGGGTTGTGGAGAAGGAGACGTGATAAGTTACAGGAGTTGGTCACAATGGGTCCCTGATCTGGTCTGCATGGCCTCCCCTGAGTCGCTCCAAGTCTCTGTTTTCCAAATCCACAAACTGGAGAGAACACGGCCTCCCACTCGGGCATGAGGGAGGCTGCTTGGTCTAATACCTGGTGGCCATTCTACACAGCATCCTAGTTCATAAAGACTGAGTGTGTATTAAACTATAAATATGTCAGAGAGGAGCATAGCCATGCCACCGGAGGACACTCCCAAGGGTCCTTATGACCTTCGCCATGAAATGAAAACTATCACAAGGAGGAAAAGGGGATCTAGAGAGAAGGGATAGCAGAGGTCTCAGAAGAAAGAAGGAAGGAAGGAAGGAAAGAAGGCAGGAAGGGTCAGAGAGCGAGAGAACCGAGGGACGCAGGGCCAGCCTGCCAGACTGCTGCTTCCCCTGTCTGTGACAGCAGGACACCCAGGACCCACTCCTCATCTGCAGAGCCAGACATGGTATAGGAACAGTGATTTGCTTTAATGTAAATATTTTGATGTATTTCTTTTCCTGAACTTTTAACCTTGATGGTAAACAGGGCACATACAGTAAATGAATTGTTTTTCTGAGAACTGACTTTTGAGGAAATAGGAAAAAAAAAAAAGAAAGATTTTTATTAGCTAATTATCAGTCTAGCATGTGATTGAAAACCTTCTTATTGTGCTTCTTAAGCCTGCTTCAGGAGATTTTGGGCCACTAAAAGAGAGCCTTAGTTTAATGTATGGAAATCAAAACCATGACTATGTGTTTGAGCCCAGATTCAGAGAGCAAACCTGCAGACAGAAGGGAAGTCTCCTGCCAGGTCCCTGAGACAGCAAACCATACAAGACTCCAGGTCCCAGTTTGCTGCCTGTAGAGACTCTATTCCTTCCTGGTTCCTGTCCTACCCTGACCACTTTGTTTCATGCTTATCCATTAGAGCAGGTTTTACGATAGAAGAAGGAATGTTAAGGTCCACTCTTAATGTCCAAGGGGCTGCCTTCCTTCTCCCGGCAGACGGCTGACTGGGCCAACCTTCTTCAGAGACCCTGTCTGTGCCAATCCATTGCATAAAATTATTTTGTGAACCCGGCTGCAGTGGTGCCCACCTGTAACCCCAGGGGCTCGAGAGGCTGAGGCAGGAGGATTGCAAGTTCAAAGCCAGCCTCAGCAACTTAGCAAGGTGCTAGGTAACTCAGTGAGGCCCTAAGCAACTTAGTGAGACTCTGTTTCTAAATAAAATATTGAAAAGGGCTGAGGATGTGGCCGAGTGGTTAAACACCCCTAGGTTCAATCTCTCGTACCAAAAAAAAACAAAAGGTTATTTTGTGACAATGACAGGAACCACACCAACTTGAGTCCCACTACTGACGGTTCCATTGAGAGTCTCCCTTCACCTCTGTCCTGTAATTTCTCTGTTACCTGAAGATCTGCTGCCTTGGTGTTAGATCTCTCATGTGCTTTGAAATACCTACAGGGATGAAGACACCTCGGATCCCATGTCCTGTGAAGCCCCACTGTAACAGAGCAATGCGGGGCCGGAAGGGCCCACGAGGCCAACAGCGACCTGGCCTCAGGACAAGTCTTCACTGGGTCGCCCAGGGCTTCTGCGTCTAGCAGAACCAGTCCTTTAAAGTTAAGCCAAGGACACTGGGATAAGTATCCCAGGTCTTCCAAGATGCGTGGCAATGCCAACGAAGCTTCCAGGCAAGATTTTCCTTGCAGTCTTAGAACGGGGAGGAAGGTCGCAGGAAAAATGAAATGACCCACAGGACCTTTGTTAAAGGACGGGATTGGGATAGACCACAGAATGAGTTAAGACGGGCAGCTCCTAGGAAGTCAGTCCCCAGCTCTCCCAGTCTCCATCCTTCTCTCCTCCACTTCCTTTCAGAGTAAATTAGAGAATCGGCTAAAATCCAAGTTAAGTGTGTGGTATATTTATCTGATTGACCTCCTTCTCCTCATCATATCTTATCTTCACTTGTAAATTATTAGCATCCTCCTCCTGGTCTCCAGGCACATTATTCGCACGATTTCTTTAAATGTTAGTCAGTCTCTCTGTCTCTGTCTCTGTCTCTGTCTCTCTCTCTCTCTCTCTCTCTCTCTCACACACACACACACACACACACACACACCTACACACACATACACCCCTGTCCTGCAGAAACCATAGCTACTGTGAACAGTTCATCCTCTGTCATTCACTGGGAGCTTTGGTCTAGGAAGCCGCTTCTGGTGCTACTGGTGACCACGTCCACACCACGCAAGGAGCCACTCTCCCCCGCAATATAACAAGACATCAGGTAAATCCTAAAGAATGAAATTGTGGGAAGCTGAGGCAGGAGAATGGCAAGTTTATGGCCAGCCTCTACAACTTAGAGAGGTCCTAAGCAATGTAGGGAGACCCAATGTCAAAAAATAAAAAGGGGCTGGGATGTGGCTCAATAGGTAATCAATGGTTTAGTGTGCGCGAGTTCAATCCCTGATACAGGGAAAAAAAAAAAAAAGAACTGGGTATAGATCAATGATAAAGCATCTCTGGATTCATTCCCTGGTACAAAAAAAAAGAAACTTCATTTATTTTTCTACCTATGTCCCTTCTAGTTGATAAACATTCTCGGTAGTGTTCCAACTGGTAAGTCCGGGCATCTATAAGGCTCTGTGAATCAAGTATTTTTGAGATCTATTAGGAAAAGGTGGGTTTGTTTCACCCGGAGGCTCATCATGTTACTGCAAACAACCTGAGTGGTTGGTATGATCATCTCCGATTGATCACCAATACCCCAGGCCCAAGGTGAAGTTCTGCAGCCAGAAACTAGATCAATCGGAATGCAAGCCCCCTCCCCACTGCCTCCAGGACCCCTGGGCCAAGGTGAGAAGGTGGGCCCAGCCCAGTACTTCCAGGTCCCCACGCTCTGTGCCTGCCTGTCACACGTACCCCAGCAGCGTGAGAGCTCCTTACTCTGCATCTTGAAGGAACCCTCTTCCAGAAAGACCTTCCCCTCTGGGCGGCAAGACCCAGTGACAGGCTGGTGGCCCTCCCTCCACTGCGTGAGACCTGAAGGAAATGTTACCTGGACTGGTGGAGGCAGACGTGTCTCTCCTATTTTCTGCCGGGTTTTTTTTGTTGTTGTTGTTGTTTTACTTAAAGGAGGTGAGGAACCCTGGAAAACGGGGAATCCCACTTTTTTGAAGTCATCAGCCATCAATTCTCAGAACTGTAACCACAAATCACCCAAAAGCAAAACCCTGGAGAGGAGGCATGGAGGTGGGCTGGGAATTCTGTGTGTCCCCTGAGCAAGTGCCCCTGACTCATGCCACGCTGTTGGAGAGCGCTGCCATGACCCACTGTGTCCCGGACATAGTCTGAGCTGTGTGCTTCTCTCCTTCCACAGATGGCAGAATCGGGGAGACCAAATGCAGCACGAAGAATTGTTTCAAAAACGCTTGCACCCTCTCACAAAAATGGGGAACTTGATCCCTGTGGGTCAGCTCTGTGTTTTGAAAAAAGGAAAGTAGGGGTCATTCTTTGCCCTGAAAGTTCCCACTCATTGTTGAGTAAACATCATAAATCCATCTCAGAGACAGGCTGCTGGACTCAAATTACCTCCTGCTACAATTGTAGCTTCAAGTTCTAATGCTCAACATGAATAACATTGTCCCACTCACAGGTCTGATTAATGAGACATTTTGCCAACTTCGGGGTGGAAGATCAGCTCCCAGCCCCTCCCTCTCCCCCCTGTGACTGGGTAACCATTTCAGCACATTCCCCCCCATTAAGTCCTACAGGGCAGCCGAGTGCCACAAAAACTAAAGGATATGGGACAGACACCAGGGTCTCTCTGGGCAGCCCTTACCAGCTGACAGAGGGCAGGTTTGCTCGGGTCTGCCCCAAGAAATTCAGAACATTCCATGCACACTGCGCCATTTGCCTGTGGCCATGTGGAGCCTGCAGGTCACTCCTATAGGACCATCTGCTTCCCCCGGTAGTCGTGTGTGCCCTACTTGCCTGCAAAGTGACCAAGGCCACATTTGAAAGTGTGGCAGAAAGTCACATTCAAGAGGTGACCCAAATAAGCATTTCACACCCAACCAGAGAAGAGTGGGGATTTTGTCTGATCTAGAAAGTGTCTGCTTCCACATAATTCCTGGAAGGAGCACTGATCACATGGGAGGAGCCCCACTGGGAGCCGTGGGGGTGAGGGGGGGGGGGACCCCAGGGCTTGCTGAGTCTGCCCTACAGACATGCTCTCATTTGCCATCCTCCTGAGCAGTCAAGGACATCATCTCTGGGTTTCCCAGATGATCGAGCCGTGGCTTATGGGCTGGTGGCACAGCCAGGATCTGCGCTCTGGTCTCAAGTGTGAAAGTCGCACTCACCCTCTCGCCCTGTGCCTTCCTTCTCCACACCTGTATGTGCGCACACACCCCCTACTCCCTCGTGGGCATCAGTTACATCAGTGTGGACACATCCCCAGCATGACCTGGATCTGTCCAGATTTGACGGATTGAGAAGCTACGTTTTCCATGCAATTGAGGCTTTATATAATTATTATTTCAGGTGAGTCTGATTTGTTTTTACACCAGGGTTCAGTAAGCATCTTTCTCAAGGCCACATGGTGCATATGCAGACTTTGCAGCCCCTACGGTCTCTGTGACCGTCACTCAGCTCCGCCACTGCAGCACAGAGCTGGCCACAGGCAAGACGTGCAGGAAGGAGAGTGGCTGTGTTCCAGTAAAACTTTATTTAAAAAACTGAGCGGCAGCCAGGTTTGGCCTCAGACCATAGTTTGGGACCCCAGGGCTTTCAACCCATCAAGTGTCATAGTCTGGTGTTTCAGACACTGGGTCTGTCCCGGCGGTGGCTGGGGCTAGCACCCTTGCCATCAGGGTGTGGGAGTTGCCACTGCTTAGGAAGCACTGGACGAGGAATGAGGCGGCTCTCAGCAGGGGAGGCCGGTCCATCAGAGCTGCTGGTGGGGAGTCCTTTGTGTGTGGGGACATCTGCCCAGGAGCCTTCCTTGGGAAGCCCTTGATCACACCATCGTCTTCCTTTTCTCTGCCCTCTCCACCTGTTCCCACTCAAAGGGACCCACCTGAGTTGTTTTGACCCACACAGTGTCTTATTCACCCTCCGAGCCACACTGTGGCCTCATTGGGTCATCTGCGTGGCCGTTTGGAAGGTGTGGGTAGGGCAGGGCTGCAGGGGGCTCAGTGTGTCTCCTTCCTCTTCAACCCTGCCACTGCCACCGCGCTCTGGAAGGTGCTTCTGGTCCCTTAGACCCTCCCAAACCTCGCAAGGCCAAGGCTCCCGGCTTGAGAGACTGTTGGGAAGACCTGGCTCAGGAGAACATGGGCCACACTTCAGGAGGCTGAGCTAGGTGCAGCAGGCTGGGCCAGGGATGTGCTGCCACGGCCGTGAGCCGTGACCACAGGATGTCCACGCCTGGAAGGTCAGCAGCCCCAGGGCCCCAAGTCCTCGGTGAGAAGGCAGGCTTGGCGACGCAGGGTCTCTGCTTTAGTGGAGACTGATCATTGCAGCGGCTTTGCCTGAGACCTGCCTCTTGCAGACTTTAGTTCTTTGCAGTAGAGAAATGCTGATCCCGCCTGCATCAGCCTCGGAACTTTGGGAAGAAGGCTGAGGTGTCGTCTGGGCAAGGCGCCAGGGCAGCTGGGATCTTCTGGGCTCTTCTGGGGGGAAAGGCACCAGGCAAAAGTGTGGGATTGACCACAGGACATGCTTCTCTAAGTGCAGGCCTCAGTGCCCCTCAGCCTGCCCTCCTGGGGAGCAGTGAGCAGGGGTGAGCTGAAGCCATGGGTGCAGTCTGCAAGGACCCAGAGCAGACGGCCCTGGGCAGCTGGCAGAGCTGAGCAGCCATCTGGGTGCCCATGAGCCTTATTGATAAGGAGTCTGTTTTTTCTTCCTGTAGCTGACAGCTGCTCTCCAAAGACAGAGAGTCGGGGAAACCAGGGTCAGGATCTTGGACCAGGCCTGCTCCGTTCCACCAATATGGCGAGGGTCAGAAAACAAGGCCAGGCTTGCTGTGTGCATGTGAGTATGTGTGTATATGTGTATGTGTGAGCATGTGTGTGTATGTGTATATGTGGTGTGTGTATATGTGTATGTATGTGTGTGTATGTGTGTGGTGTGTGCACTTGAGTGTGCACGTGTATGTGTGTGTATGTGTATATATGTGTATATGTGTGTGTGTGTGTATATATGAATGTATGGTGTATGCACGTGAGTGTGCATGTGTATGTACGTGTGTATGTGTGCATATGTATGTGTATGTGTGTGTTTGTGTGTGTATATGTGTGTGCGTGTGTGCATGTGAGTGTGTGCATGTGAGTGTGTGTATGTGTGTGCGAGTGTGTATGTGGGCACGTGTGAGTGTGTGCATGTGAATGTGTGTATGTGTGTGCGAGTGTGTGTATGTACATGTGTGCGTGTGTGTGCATATGTGTGTGCATGTGTGTGTGTGTATATGGCTCCCAGGAGTGATGACCAGGAAAACCCCCCTAAAGGGAATGAAAACCACAGGAGGGAGTGAGAAACGAGCAGCCCCCCGGAATCCCTGGCAGCACTGTTTGCCCCGAGGCTGCTTCTGGTCAGCAAGGCTTGTCCATGCGCCAGGATGTGCCAGTTGCCCGTTCCCTGTCACTGAATTCCCCTCCTTCTTGTTCTGGTCTCCCAAGGAGCCACTATGGAAGCACTAGCAGGGTCCTGTGGGAGACCCCCAGACCTCCAGTCCCCACCCCAGGGTGGAGGACCCTCTTGCGACCCCTCCTGTGTCCAGGCTGGCGTCAGCTCCTGCAGCCCAGCTCTGGAAAGCCCTGTGTTGGGTCCCCATCCAGAGAACAGGTCTTTCAGAGGCAGCTCTTGGGTCTGGCTGGCCCCTTCTTTTCGGGAAATCGGGCCACAGGGCGGCCCCTGCCCACCAGCCAGGCCTGGGCATTTTCTGCCTGGAGGGCTGGGTGCCCGTTTCCTTCTGAAAGTCAAGAAACTCCCGAGCCTCAGTTTCCCCAGCTCCAAAGTGAGGATGGCCCGTGGCAGTGCCATGGGCAGTGCCCAGAGGAGGCTCCCTGCTGAAGGGACAGGAGCCTGTCCGATTGTCAGGGAAGCCTGCTGTGCCTGTCCATCCAGATCAGAGGGAAGCTCGGCAAGCCACTTAAAAGGGACCTTGACTCATTTTGTGGTGACGGAATGTGCAGTTCAGGAAGTGCTTCGCAAAAACGAACTGGGCTCCACACCCCTTGTCCCTGCCTGCCACTCAGGAGGCACCGTGCTGTGGCCACGTTGCCCTGCTTGCCGCCCAGCACCGCTGCTCCGCATCAGTGGCATGGGTGGCTCTCCCAGCGCGCTCCGCCCACTGAAGGCTGGTGAGGGCCGGACTGGATGGGCCACCGACCTCTGCGCTCGTACCCTGCCCCACCCTCAGGCCAGGAACTCAGCTTCTCTGAGCCTCTGTCTCCTCGTCCTTTAAGGACGGGGAAACTGAGGCTCTGCATTGGGGCAATGCCAGAGCCCATCAGAGGCCGCTCTGGGCTGGGGTCTGGCCAACGAGGTCACGGGCACTCCACCGTCTTCCTGCCTGGAACCCGGCACCTAGCAGGTCTCGGTGGATTCTCATGCAAGTGACAGGACGTCCAGTTTCCACTCACCATGCACCTGAACTTGAGCGGACAGGAAGGAGGAGGGAGAGGCATCATCAAACCTCTACCATTGAGCTGGTGGGCTGCAGAGGGGAAGTCGGGGCAGAGACCCTCGGGGCTACCTGTGAAGAAGGCGGGCACCAGGGGGACCAGAGATGGAGGTTGTCCTTGTCGTTAGCAGGATCCTTCCCTCCAGCTTCTGCAGGTCTCAGGTCTCTGTCCTTGACCCGTGGGGGTCCTCGAGGAGGGGAGAGGCGGGGGAGGAAGGGTGGACACAAGGGTGAACAGCCCACCTGGTGACATTGCCCAGAGTCCTGAGAAGAGACCCTCCCCTCTCCCTGCCCCAGAGGCCTCAGGGACAGGGGCTCCGTGGGCTGAGCAGTCCCACTGCTGGGAAACAGGGTGGCCTTAGTTCCTCATTTAAGGCGCACCCTAGTTCCCAAGGCAGTCGGGAGCCCAGGTTGCCCAACGTGGCAAGGGAGCCTGAGCCACCGGCCCTGCCCGCCCCTGGACCTGAGCGTTGTGTGCAGAGTCTCACCGGCCTGGCCTCAAGAGGCTGACCAGGGACACACTCTCCATGTCCAGGAGCCTGCAGAGGAGGAGGAAGCTGCGACTCTGAAGGCAAGGAACATGTGTTCCCATTTGTCATTGTCAAGCTCTGATGTCTTTTGGGACTCAGTCTGAAGGACAGTTTTGACTGTTGCAACCAAAAAAAGCAAAGGAATCCAATGACGATGACAGACCCCTTTTCTGGGGACTTTCCCGTTGTCAGTGGAACCCGCGTTGTCCTCAGGGGCTGTTAGGGACGGCACCTCAGCTCAGCCAGAGGGGACCCTGGAGAGCAGCCCCCCCACCCCGATGTGCGGAGGCCAGAGCTGAGGGGGACAGAGCGAGCCGTGGGGACATCCCCTCCCTACCTCCTCATGCATGTTCTAAAGGAGACCTGCAACCCTACCCCAACCCAGTCCCTGTCCCCCAGGTGCTGTGGCTGGGGGACAGGACAGCAGCTGCCCAAGAGCAGCACCCTCTGTAGACCTTCTGAGCCACTGAAGAGTGGCTCCTGCTCTGATCTGGAAGTTTCTAGCACGTCTTGCTGAGGCAGTGGACAGCCAGTCACGGGCCGCAGACCGACAGCTCCTACTCTCTGCCCTGGTGAGCCAGGCCGGTCCCCCGGCTGCGCTCCAGCTGCAGGGCCTCTGCATCTGGAGCCTACTGACAGGCCGTTCACAGGCCAGCCCGCTCCAGGACGGCCAGCGCCCCCCTGTCCGCAGAGGGAGCACCGCTGAGCCAGCCCTTTTGGGCTAATGAAGGGTGACTGCTGGTGCCGGGGGGACCCCGCCTGGCCATTTTCTTCTTGAGGCTTTGGGGGCTGCTCAGGGATGGAGGGTTTGGAGGCTGGTTCCTGGACGAGGTTTCAGTTCCTGGGATGTGACTCCACGGCCGAAGGAGCCCCCACGATTCTTCCTGCTTTCCTCCTGCGAAGGGCCCTCATCTTCCTGGCTGTGGCTCCACCCTCGGAAGCTCCCGGAAGGAACGCATTCTCCACAGCTCAGGAGGCCAGAGCCTGGAGCCAGTAGGACTGGGCAGAAGTCACCGTGGCCCTGGGGCTCTAGGGGGGAGCTGGTTTCTCGAGGCTGCCAGAAACCCTTGGCTTGGGGCTCCTTCCACTGTCCTAAAGCATGTCACTCCAGGATCTGCCCGGGTGTCACATGGCCTTCCCTCTGTGAGAGTCTAGGTCCCTCTCATAAGGACCCCAGCGATTTCAAGGTCACATCTAGGGCCCTCCCAGATAATGCACACAAGCTTCTTAACTCGAGATCTTTCAATTAATGCCATCTGCAAACTCCCCTTGACTCTGTAAGTGGCACCCTCAGTGCTGGGCTCTGTGCATGTCTTGGGGGCCATTATCAATCTCCTACAGAGAGTCACACTGAAGACTCCAAGGCAGCCTCCTTAGTAGTACATTTGGTTTGGTTTGGTACCAGGAATTGAGCTCAGGGGCACTTAACCACTGAGCCGCGCCCAGCCCTATTTTATATCTTATTTAGAGACAGGGTCTCACTGAGTTGCCTAATGCCTCACTATGTTGCCGAGGCTACCTTTGAACTGGAGATCCTCCTGCCTCAGCTTCCTGAGCTGCTGGGATTTCAGGCATGTGCTACCACATCCGGCTTCCCGAGTGGTACTTTAAGGAGCCTAGTAAGAAAGGGGCCACCAGACCTGGTCAGGAGGGCTGAGTGTCTTTAGAGTCTCCCTCCAACACATCTGTGTCCCTGCAGCCTCTGGTTTGCTTTGGGGTGGTGTCCTCTCAGTCACAGGATACCCTGGGTCGGCGACTGGACCTCAATGCCAGCCCACACAGCAGTCAGAGGGACAGTTTATCCTCTCTTCCCCTGGCATGGCCAGGGGTGGACATGCCACGAGCTCTGTCCCCGGGATGCTGTTCTCTGAGACTTGAGAGCTTCTGCTATTCAGCTCAGCAAGGACCTCTGACCACATTCCTCCTGCTTCCTAGTATCTGCCCCTGCCAAAATGCCCATTCCCAAGCCGGAAGAACCATGTCCCCATGGTTCAGGGAACCGGCAACCCTCTTAGCACACAGGCCCCGTGATGGATTCGCAGGCCCACAGGCTCTGTGGACCTCAAGTCCCGAGACAGGACTGTCTGCTCTGTGGGGTGTGCCTGGGAGGTCCTGGGGCGATGGCGGATGGAGTGGCTCCGTGGATTTCTGCCCTGGTTATCTGTCTCGCTCAACAGCTCTTCTCTTCAGTAAGGTATCAGTGTTACTGCCAGAGCCCTGTGTCGATGACATTCCCATGGACACAGCAGCTTGGAGGACTCACAGGATAGAGAAAGGGGCATGAGGTTGTGACCCAGCAGCAGGCCACGGCCTCAGTGCACCCCGGAGGGTCTTGATTTTGGGGACCTAGACAATGACCACATGCTTGTTGAATGAACAAACCAACGAGGGCCAGCTGGGCCGAGCGTCCTTGCTGGGGACTGCCGTGGCCAGGCACGTCTGCTGTCCCTCAGAGCAGAGCCTCTGGTATCTGCAGAGCACCAAGTACCTCCCAGGCGCATCTGCTTTGCGTTGCTGCGTTTTCTCCCACGGGGACCCCGGGGACTGGAAGCGCCAGGAAGACGGATGCCCCCCATTCGTCTTTCTCTGGAGGTAGGAGATCTCTGCACTGTGAAGGGACCCAGGTGGTGTCATGCTGATGCACGCTGTTTGGGTTTTTGTGTCCTGGGTGCTGGGGGTTGACTCGGGGCTTGTATATGTTGAGCGTGTCCCGTGGCCTGAGCTGCAGCCCCCCACGTCCAGGCATTCTGGAATTATGCAGCTCTGCTGAGGATGACGACAGCAACCAGAAAGACATTCTAGCATCAGAACCCACAGCT